TATTTCAGAGTAAATGGTAAAACAAGTGGATTTAAGTGACAACTCTCCTTACACAGGATATTCTTCATACAAAGCTAAAAAAGCCTTCAAAATATATTGCTCTGGGGAAAATACGGTAGAACCATTTGCACAATTGTTACAACAAGCACACTTGTAACATGTCTAAACTTCTGTTAGAAATCTGAAATCCAATAAAACTTACAGTACCTTTGGCAGGAAATGCGGCGAAAGATACTGCAAAAGAGATTGTGTAAAAACTTGAATGTATCGCCCTATCTTTTATTTCAAACTCTGTTAAAAAGCAATAAAAATTTATACTCTCTTCATTTTAACTCCCAAGAAAAGGAATATCAGGAATAGAGCTGGAATACTCTCAAGCTGTAAGCGTGGGCATGTGTAAGGTAGCTTTAGCTCCACTTGCTCCTGAGTGTCTATAGTCCTTCTATGAAAGATACCAAAAAAAGACACCCCCTTTACCTCAGCTGCTGTGTGGATTGCCCTCTCTGATGTGGGAAGCCTGTTAAAATTAAAGCAGATTGGCTACTTTCAGTGCAAAGTTTTCTATCTGAAATGTTGAATCTTCAGAACAAAAATGATCCGGAAGGAAATAACATTTTAGACGCTACGTAGAAGCAATAATTTTAAAATGTAATAAGTTTAAATGTTATATGATAGTGTATTGTATTATAGTTCACTGATCATCAGTTACCAAATGTATTTGTTACCAGAATAATTAAAATTTTAATTACCAAATCAATTTTTGTTTGTCAGCCAGTTATCAACTTTGAATGCCAACTCTTAAACCAGTAAGAAGTACCAGCTTTCATGTAGGGCTTGTCATTACTAAATCCTGATTGGAAAATAAAACAGCAGACATGAAAATTGAATATATATATTTTCAGTAGGAAAATCCAAGAAAAATGTTCCTTGTTTTCCAGAAAGACTGAATTTCTGAACTTGTATGTCATGTTGAAGTATTGCTTGCTCATGCTAAAATTGCACACATCATTTTATCATTATCTGTCTTCAAAATGTGTTTACTCAGCATATGAGGGTGTGCAAACAGAGCAAATTCTCTACATTTGTTTCTTCGGGAGGCATCAAAAATCACACACCTGGCCAAGGCTTCGTAAGAAATTAGGTGGCAGCACAAATTCCAGCTCCCTGTCCCCTGACCGGTATCACACAAGGACCCACAGGTCCCTGGTCCTCCCGGCAAGATCCTTCGGTTCTCTTCAGAGAGCCACACCTGCTCCCAGTTTCCCCCCCCTCATCTCCTTCTCTCCTCGAGTTCTTCATCCCATCCATGGAAGAGTTACTTATGCTGCTGCTTTCTCCACCTCCTCTTGCCATGTCAGCTTGTCTGCCCAAACATCCTACCTTTATGTACTTTGTTATGCTATTATTCAGATCTTGCTACAATTCCTTTAAAGTTCTTGCCACCCCACATCCTTCATCTTTTCAAACCGTTGAAGACCTTAATAGATTTGGGTTTCCTTGCTTCCCACAAGCTCTAGGTCATCTCCAGCTTTCTCAGTTATGTCACTCCCCCAGTTCCTGCTGCTTCTTCGTGAATGCTTTGTGTGGTGAAACAGGTGACTGAAAGGGCTGGGAATTGCAGGCTTAGGAGTGGAAGAGGAATTCCGGGTACTTGGGATGAGTTCTTGGGGCAGCAAGGTTGTAGGATCTGTACATTCTGACGTGTAAAGAATTGCCTGTAGATATCACCGCTGTTGTCTCCCATTTGACTTCCTTCAGATCTGTTGTCTGCTGTTGTCCAAGATACTGCCTCTTTCCACCCGGTCAATGGAAATGACTGAATGACTCCCATCTTCCTCTTTCTACCTGGTTAATGACTCAAGGCTCAATCCTCCCTCCTGCAGAGGTTTCAAAGGTCTGTATGCAGGCTGTATTTATTAAAAGGTCGCTCAGGATACTGAAAACTAAAGAGCATTGTGTACAGGAATGGTAGCCACCATTCCATGTACTAAGAAACATAGAATCACTCACCTTGAAAGCATCAATAGTCCCATCAACGTCTGTGAAGCACAGGTAAGCAACAAGGGGTAGCTTGAGCTGACAGAAGGACACTGGGGGTAAACGCAATTCCACCATCCTGTACGCTTCAGTCCAGCCTCTCCTTGCTCTAATCTAGAGCCAAGGACAGAGAAAGAAATCAAAAGCCTGTCTCTGAGCGGGCAGGTTTTGGTGAGCCAACGCAGCATGTGTGGAGCACAGAGGGAATTTGCTGCAATTGCTGTTCCTTTACAAGCATACTCAGACTATGTATATATTTCTCCAAATGTATTTCAGACTGCTCAGCTCCAAATGTCAGGTTTTAGAGCTTTTGAACATGTTTCTGCATCCATAATCTTAAACCAACACTTTTCTTACTGCACTGAAAAAAAAAAAAAAAAAAAAAAAAAAAAAGTCTTAAATGAATAAATACTTGTTTGGAAACAAAAATAAAAAAATAATGGCTCTGATCTGAAATATCCTGCCTGTTTTAGAGCTTTGGTATCAAAATGTGGCTATGTTGCTGGGTCCATTATTAAAAAACACATTTCTTGACCCTTGTCTCCACTTCTCCACCCTCCACCCTGTCCACTGAGAGAGCCCAAGTGCACATAGGAAAGTTTAGCAACATCTCTGTTCTAAAAGGGTATTATCCGTGTGCAGGGTAACACAAGAGGCAAGTATGTGTTTGCCTTTCATTTAAAACAAATTAGAGGAAGCTGCACGATTTCCATTTGTGCCATTAGAAACCTTCCCCTACTGCTTCTTTAAGGATATGTTCCCCTTCACGCCTCCACCCCTCACTTACAGGAAAGCTGAATGTCTGGAAATATACCATTTTTCCTTATTCAGGAGCAGTAGAGGAGATATGCTGTGCTTATGCCCCTTCATTCTATGGGGGCTTTGGTGGAGCACAGCCCCCCATTCTTGTTCAGGGTCATAGAACAAGAGCACTAAATGCCACCGGGAAAGGGACAAAAACAGTTCTTAAGGGTGTCACTCTGGCTGTGGGGAATTTGGTTCTGGGAATCTTTGCAAATGAACATTAGAGATGATAAAAATTATTATTGTTGTTATCACAGTTTTATTGTTGTCTGTTCTTGCCGTTGCTGCGACACTTCATAGCCTCAGCCAGGGGACTTCACTGTAGAAGAAAAGGATGGTCTGTTCCCCTGTAATTGTCAATCAGGTTTGTATCTGGCTGCCTCCTTTGTTCAGTTTTAAAGCCTTTGTTGTAAAGTTTGAACACCATTGCTACTCCTTTTTTAAAAGCATTTTTCAAATAAAAAAAAAAATAAAAATAAGGTGGGACTTTTTCACTTACCATACTTTATTGGAGATTCAACTTTAGATTGAGTTAAAGCCATGAAGATAGCTTCCTGGAGAACACCAGCTGTAGTTTGACAATATGTTATCTCTGGCAGCAATATCAGCTCTAAGATTTTCCACGTTTACTATGTTCCTCTGTCTGGTTCCTCCATCCCTTTTCTGCCTCATTGTAGAGCATATACTAACAAACACAGCTGTTTTGCAGGTATGGTCCACATCCTCGGAGGACTTGTTAAGTTAGATCACATATCTGATCTGATTTAGAACACATGCTCTGACTGCATTTTGCTTATGTGAAGGATTTGGGAATTGCTGTGGTAAAGCAGTGGGGGATAAGTGGCAGGAATCGTAATATAAAAAAAATGAGGTTGGGAGGGATCTCTGAAGGACCAGCCACTGGCTCAAGACTGGGCTATCATCAAAGATACAACAGGTTGCTTCTGGGTTCATCCAATCAGAACTTAAACATCTTTAAGGGTACAAAACCTGCAACCTCAGCTCTGCAGTCCTTATGCTAATAGTTCTGCAGAGGACAATATGGAGGTTACATGCCAGCTGTGTTTTATTTTGATAGCTGGAAAGGTCTTTGGGCTATCACCCCTTCTGTTTCACTTTAGTTTTGGAAATATTAGTTTATGTCTCAGAGGAATAATAACATTTCTGTAAGGTAGTTGCACTTTGGCTAATGAGCCTTGTCTCATAATGTGGCTTATTATCTCAGGAGATGCACGCTGATGGGTCTCCATTACTTCCAGTATGAAACCAGCCCAGGTAACTGTTCTGTACGTATAGTGAGAAAGTGCACTGTATAGGTTTCCCTGATTGCTCTTGGACAATGTGCAAATGATATAAAGGTGGGGATTTGGGAATATGAGCCAGACTTCTCTGTTCATATGTCAGTGCTTAGAACTAATTCCCAATCCGATATTCTAAAGAGAGAGCTGCAAAATCAACTAAAGCTACTGCCGTGCTTATATCAGTCCATTTGCTTGTGCATTAATTCTTTTTTTAACCACAGGGAAACAGCTGGATACATGATGCATGACAAAGCAAGTGAAGGGTTTCTGTTTGTGCAACAGGGCTGCTAAATATTTACATTTTGTTCAAGCTACTGGAAGCAGCTGAGAGGTAAGTATGCCAGGCGAACCAGACCTGACTGCAAAACGATGATTCATTCAGTCAATTTGTCACTTAGCAAGTCTGCATTCAACTTCAAAAAATGAAAGAAGAAAAAATGAACTCAGCCCATTAGCTTCTACCCATTCAGTATTGAAGTTAATCTGCTTCAGGTGAAAGAAAAAAAAAAAAAAAAAGAAGAATGGAACACTATTTTTGGGATGTTTAATTAAATAATAAGTTAAATATAGGCACAAACTGCTGAAGAATTTTTTGCAGGCTTCTTTTCTGAAATCCATAAACACACCCCTAGCTTGGTGTAAAATCTTGCTTTTATCAATTGCTTACAAAGTGAGCTGGAGATTAACAGCCCTGCTCTCCCGTGCAAACTGGGAATGGAGCAATGTTGATTCATCCCAGATTTACAAAGGCATTTGGGATGCTGAATCCAGGCTGGATCTAGTTTGACTTCAGCAGGAGTTGACTATCCTGACTTCTCTGTCTCGTTAGGCACTAATGCACCTGTGTTGACTGATCCTTGCTCCTTAAAAACAAACCCTCTGGGGGCCTGTGTTTTTTCTTGGGAAATCTGCCTGCCCCCAGGAGCTCTGACAGCGTGCTGCCGTGCCACGCAGGGACCCGACCACCTGGTGGAAGACCAGAAGCAGCTAGGGACAGTGCAGCAGCTCGCGCTTGAACAAGAAGGTACTGTCACGAACACTTCTACCTCGGTCACCCTGCCCGACTCACTGATGGCAACATACTGTTGCTTGTTGCAGTCTGATAAAGTGTTATTGTTGGTCAAAATTCTCTCCCTTTCAGAATATAATTATTTCTCCCCTTTAATTCACTGACAGAGCAAACGTGATCCAAAAGCAATTCACGTTTTAGTGCGCCTCAGTTTCTAATTAGAACAATTTCACCTGTATCTTTTGAGCTCGTATTTATGCAGACTTTCCAGGAGTGGACAGTGCATAGCGTGGCACTGTGGTCACACCATAGTGCCAGTCCTCTGGGGCAGTGGTGTTAGCATTGCTGGGGCTTACCTCCACAGGCAGAGGCGGGTTGCTTGTAAGGTGAGCAAGACCCACTCCACCTCTCGTGTGGCACCACTTCCTTCAGTGAAGTGATAATCCAGGAGCTTTAACTCTTGGAGAAGACAGTCTGAGTCCAGGTACTTAGAAGAAGTCAGATACTGACTCGGACTACAGACATACCAGCTACACAAAAAAAAAAAAAAAAGTCTCAGTTTTAATCGTACTACATACTAGTTCTGATTGCTTAGCATCAACACCCTTTCTTAGTCCCTGTATTTTTGCTATTCCTAAACATTGTATTGTATACTAGATTTTAAGATAAGAATAATAGTCTGGAAATAGGTATTTTAGGTGGTTTGGGGCTAATCTAACAGCTGAAATTAAACTGCCCCATCTTATTCATGTAGGGGACATGAACAGGAACACAGAACACAAGATGGAAAGAATCCCAAATTTAAAAAAGTTAATAGAAAAGCAGACTATTCATTTGAAGTTAAGACAAATACTCCTGGCACGGCTGCAGAAAACAGCAAGATGGATTGCAAATAACTTTAAACCAAGCAAATAGAGAAATAGAGGTATATATATGAAATTAACAGATCAGTTTAGAGCCAGAGATACTTAAAAGCAGCAAGCAGAAAAGATGGTGACAGAGACATCATAGATGGCTTTGAGAAAAATAGGTTCTATATTTTTGTAGACAACCTATGCAATTTCCTTAAGGTGAGAGGACTAGAGTAGTATTTTTCAGGATCTAAATTCCATAGAGTAGATCTGAAATTCTGGCAACATTAAATTACAATTATCTGTAAAATGAAGAGCAAGGGCATTTATCAAAGTAACGTTGTGCTTTTGGTTCATGCAATGACAAGTCCTTTGTGAATTATGGTGGAGTACATTAACATTAAACTTATATATGTGTCTTGGAAGGAAAACGAAGCGTGCAAGCCAAGTTTCACTGCATCTGATGAAACCATGCTCACACTAAGATGAGGTGGGTACCCCTGCATGATGTGCAACAGGTACCCTAGCTGTATATAGGCAAGGTACTACAAGAATTCATTGTTTCTTCATATTTTTAGTCTAAACTGTCAAGGGTGGTGCTGACTTAGCTTAGAAGGCATGCCTATAACTGTTTGCAAAGTGCAAAAAAATTACCTGTAAACTCTTCAGCTTCCCTGAAATCAGTGTGCCCAGATGCATACACGGTTTACCTCCATCATTACTGTTATTGCAGCTTTGTCTTTCACCTTAAATTTTTTCCCTTCCCTGTATGATTTACATTTTTTTTTTTTTAATTTTTTCCCTTCCCTGTATGATGTACAACTTAAGCAGGCAGCAACATCTGTAAGCTAAGCTGAAAAAAAGGTCTTTCTTCTTCCATCTCATACTACTGATTTTGAGATGTTTTAACCACCAAATAGTTGATACTACTCTCCTCCACTTTTATTTGTACAGTTGACAACAATTAATAAGTTCGTGTTGAAAAGAAACTATTAAAGATACTACACTGAAGAAGAAAGAATGAAAACACAGTATGAGCTCACCTTGACATAATAGCAGTAACTAGGTGCTTGTTCAGTTGCCACATCAACCAATGGATCACATGACTTAGAGGAAGAACAGACCATTGTGAAATATTAATTGCAATAGAAGAACTTCAATCCTATTCTTCTTTCCAGAATACAGTTATTCTTTTAAGTAAAAGTAGAAATATCTTCAGCAGCTGTAAGCTGTTTCCTGGATTTATTTCTTTTTATTGTATGTATTCTTGCTGTCACAGAAGAGACAAAAGAAGGTTATTGTAGAAATGATTTATTTTGCCTCATTAAAACCTACTTAGCATCCATGATCATAGGAGGAAAGAGTATTCCATAAGTGTGTAATTCAGATACAGTTTTAGTCTGAAAATAGTGTTTACTGACTCTTTAATACTGATGTTTCAAGTGCAAATCTAAATCCGATATAGAGCTGTTTTTTTCTATATAAGAACAATCCTTTTTGCAAGTTTTGCAAAGGTTATATGGAATTGAATATAAACAACATTTTTTTAGGACTTTTATTTTGAGGAATTATGAGGGTGAACTGAAAAATAGATTATTAGACATGATTTTCCTGTTGACAACGCTCTAAGTATTCACTTAGAATGGAAAAAATCAGAATAAAAGTACTAGAAAAACACCTTATGACATAAGTATCTATATATCATAAATGTCAAATAGGGACTGGCCGAAGCCTATTTACCATCTAGAACGAAAATATTAATTGTCAGATTTTTCAGCCATTCCTTACAAATCATGGGTGTCTGCAGAAGGTTAGGATCACTTCACAGTAGTTCACTGGTCAATATGAAGATTAAATTCATCAGGAGAAGTATTCATACAGAACAGTTTGATCAATGCTTTCCAGCTTACAGTTATGAAGTAAATCAAAGCTCCTCCAACTCCTTTTCACAGTCGTGGAGAAAGATGATATTTAAATGCTTGCATCTCTTTGAGCCACTGATGAAAATGGGTTTGTTTTCACAATTGCCTATAGGGAAGACTGTTAATGACTTTCTGAGGAGCAGTGTTAAGTACTTCTCTCTCTCCCCTTCCCTTTCCTTTTTTTGGTTATTCCTTAGAATGATATAATCCTTCTTTCATGCCAGTGCTTCTACATTTCTTCATCATCTGCACAGGTTTTACCATCATAACCTCAATACTAGCTACAGACTTCTCTAGCAAAATCAGATAGACTTTTTGATAATTTCAGAGGGCTATGAAGATCTTATAACCTTATGCTGCCACAATACATATTCAAGAAATAAGATCTGTTCTGAATTTCAAACCTCCTTGGCACATATTAATAAAATTCTTTCCTGAGTTCCAAATGAATTTGCTCCCTCTGCATCTTAAAAAAAAAAAAAAGAAAAAAGGCAATAAACATTTGCTCAACCATAAAAAGGTGGAATGAATGTAATTAAGCCATTTAAATATCAATCATTTAGACAAACAAAACACACAAGTGCCCAAGTGTTCAGCCAGTCAATTTTATAAACACGCAGGAAAGAATAAACCAAGAGTATTTTAATGGAAAAGCAAGCTAATTTGCAGTCTGCTGCAACACACCGCTAAGCTTCTTGGGTATACTGTGATTAGACATGGATTGCAGTAAAATAGCTACCAAGAAGCCACAAACTCTGATGGTATTAGCAAGAAGTCTAACTTTCCCACAGCCACATATAGGAGAAACAATGGTCGTGAAGGGGGAGCGGTGTTAATACTGAAGCTTAATGGGGCAAGACTTGCTGTTCATCAGAGAAGCTGGATTTTGGATCAGCTCCAAGCCCATAAAAATCTGCCCAGGAAAATATGAAACCTAATGTAGAAATGTCTCCTTATTTAAAAGATGTCATGCAATCACTGCAAAGTTGTTTAGGTATTTTAATATCAAGGAATAACAGTAAAGAAATGAGAAAATCATTTCTTCAGAATCCCCGTGATGCCATCATGCATCTAACGTACCAAATGCCATTTCTGAATGTTTTGCAGCCACAAGGTGACAAAGTAGCTATCAATGAGATAAGGATTGTTCTGTGTGGAACTGCTCTTGCAGTTACAATAGGGAAGTGATAAATTACAGACTTCAATGATCTTTCTGGACGAAAGGTTTGAGACAGTTACAGCTGAGATTAGCCCTTTGGATAAGAGAGTGACAAGAGATGAAAGAAGACTAGAAGCCTGCAAGAAAGATCACAAGATGTAAAAGAAAAGACTAAAATATTCTGCTCATACAAATGCAAATGACCATGGAATAATGAAGTGAGCACCTGCAGGACAAAATTAAAGCAGGAAAAAGATTGTAAACTGGATAAATTAGTTGTTTTAAAATGACCTGAGTTTTTGCTGTGGTCCGTGAATAAAACCTTTTGTTTTCAATCACCACGAAAAGTGAAAGCAAAAAGGAAGCCCAGGAATGGAGATGCATTTTTTTTTTTTTTTTCTCTCCAAGGATCTTGAACATGTTTTGAGCAAAACCCACATAGTATGAGATTTGGGAATATGTCAAATATGCCTAATTTTCAGAAAGACTCCAGGGGCAGGAATCGGCTAAAATGAATGTCAAGGAATGATCTTCTGAAATAACTGGAAAGTGTTCGAAAAGATGATTCAAGTTCTTGGCAGTGGACAGTTGTCTGATAAAGTCTACTTGTTCATGGCAGCAGCCTTGATGTCTGCAATGACATCTGGGGAGAATCCAACTGCCTTTTCCTTGCAGTATATTTCTTTCAAGTATGAAGCCGACTTAAGCCATAAGACACCGTGTTGATTTTGAAGCTGTGGGAGGTTTCCATATGTGCAGAATTGATTTGTCAATGACTTTAAGATAAATATTGTTAGTGCTTGGTGCTATTGGTAATATGCTCAAATGAGCATTAATACAACATTCCATTTAATGAGGTACGGTGTATCACCAAATAAGAATGTTAAGTTGGAGATTTACCTGGAATCTGTGTCTAGCACACTTTTAAAGTGTTCCCTAAAGAAAGGACTAATTTTTCCATCAAGTAATACATTGAATTGTCATGAGGAATATCAGAATTTGTAGATGTGCTCTGCATGGAAAACTAGAAGCTTCAGAGACATAATCTGCCTGTGTTTCCAAGGCAGACCCTTTCTGCTTTAA